CTTTCAAGAATTTTTCTTTATCTTTGGTTTTCTATCTTTAGCTTTTATTCTGCTTATTGTTCTCTGAGCTTACTGGATCTTGATTTGGTGTCTGACATTCATTTGGGGGAAGTTCTCGGTCATTATTGCTTCAGGTATTTCTCCTGTTCCTTTCTATTTCTTTTCCTTCTTGTATTCCAATTACACATATATTATACTTCTGGGGTTTTCCCATAGATCTTGAATATCCTGTTCTTTTTTTCCCAGTCTTTTTTCTCTGTGCCTCCAGTTTTAGAAGTTTGTATTTTATATATCATCAAACACACAGATTGTTACCTCAGCTATGTCCAACCAATGAAACTATGAAAGGTATTCTTCATTTTTGTTATAGCAATTTTCATCTCTGGCATTTCTTTTTTAATTATTATTTCTTGGAATTTCTATCTCCTTGGGGTGCCTGAGTGGCACAGTAGGTTAAGCTTCTGCCCTTGGCTCAGGTTCCAAGCCTGCATCAGGCTCCCTATTCAGCAGGGAGTCTGCTTCTCCCTTTCTCTCCGCCCTGCCCCCCAGTGATGCTCATGCTCTCTCTCTCTCTCAAATAAATAAATAAAGTCTTTAAAAAAAAAAAAAAAGGATTTCCATCTCTCTGCTTACAGTACCCGTTTGTTCTTGAATGTTCCCTACTCTAACACTGGAGACTTTTAATTTAAAACGACTATGTTCAATATACTCAGTCTGATCATTCCAACATCTAGGACATATATGGGTCTGTTTTTGATGCTTGATGCTTGCTCTGTCACTTCAAATTGCTTTTTGCCTTTTAGTATGCCTTGTTTTGTGTATATATATATATATTTTTTTTTTAAATTTGTATTTATTTATTTATTTGCAGAAGGGCAAACATGATGTACCAGGGGAAAGAAATTGTGGTACATAGGCCTTTACGAGCGAGTGGTGAGGCATGTGGGGCTGGGGCAGGCAGTCTACAGTTCTACAATTAGGTCTCAGTCCCGGACTTTGAACTGCACAAGTGCTTCTCACCTTTTTTACCCCCTTACGTGGCACATGACAGTTAAAGGGGAGCTAGAGTTGGGTATTTCCCTTCCCCCACATGGAAGACTACAGCAGGCTAGATTTGTTTCCTTCCCGCTACTTAGTTAGGCTCTGAGAAAAACCACAATAGGTTAGGCTCTGGTAAAATAGTTTCTCTTGAGGGCAAACTGCTAAGAACTGAATGCCCTAGCATATTTCAAAAAGGTTCCTTTTTTTCCCCCACTGAGGAAGCACAAAGGTATTTTTCTCCAGTCTTCACTCTGAGAACCTGATAGAACTCCTGTAGGTAAGCTCACAGAAGCGTGCTTCCCTCCTGCATGACTGGGTCCCCCTAGAATTTCTCTCTCTCAGCTTGTTCACATTGAGGCTCCAGCAATTCCTCAGTTACACTTCATGTATTCCTACCCCAGCACTAGTTCCTGTGGAGGTTTCTGCTCCATTAAGTTGTGATTCTTTCTATTCACCTGTCTCCAAATTTGGGGGCAGTGGTTTGCTCTGTGACCTCACTTCCCTAAGGGAATCTAAGAAGAGTTATTGATTTTCAATTTGTTCAGCTTTTTATTTGTTGTGAGGATGGAGTGTGACTTCCAAGCTCTTTACATGCCAGATAGGCAACTGGACTGACCTCTACCTTTTTAAGAAAATGCTTTCTTTCAGCCGTCATCTTCAAAGAAACATAGACTGACAGATTTTCTGAGGCCATGAATGGACAGGCTTTAAAAATTTATATTTTAAAAAGGAACCATGGATTTGTGTTCATATTTGTACTCCTCTCTAATATGCTTGTAAATTAAAAAAATTTTAACATCTGTTATGAGTCATGAGGCATAACCATCTCTACTGACTTGGAACATTTTCATTTTTTACCTGCAGCTCCTTTTTTGCATTTTAAAACTATGATGTGGCTATCGCCCAAAAATGGAGTAAAGGCCCTTTTAATTATCCAGATCTGCATTTCCTGTTAACTGCTTTTCACTCTGTGTGAGGGTCCCTACATGCAGAGATTTCTGAAGGGAGGAAATTAAACCTTTCTCACTAGGGAAAATTTGGCTCTTAGAAAGTGTTTAATGTTGCTGAAGTTGAACATGGACTTACTGTTATTAATAGAAAAAATGCTAATGATTGTAAAGTTTCTCAGCATTACATCAGACTTTCTCCCTTTGGCAAATCCCTTTGAAAATCAGAGTGGTTGTTGATACTTCCCAAAACACTTCTGTGTTGCACTGGGAGATGGTTGTGTAACCTTTCAACATAAAAAGTTCCTAACAAAATCTTAAAAAAGAAAAGAAAAGAAAAGAAAAAGAAGGCTTTCGGACACCTGGGTAACTCAGTCGGTTAAGCACCTGCCTTCGGCTCAGGTCATGATCCCAGCATCCTGGAATCGAGTCCCACATAGGGTTCCTTGCTCAATGGGAAGCCTGCTTCTTTTTCCTTCTCTCTCTGCCTGCCGCTCCCCTACTTGTGCTCTCTCTCTCTCTGACAAATAAATTTTTAAAATCTTAAAAAAAAAAAAAAAGTTTCCTGGAACAGCAGTTTGGGTATTTCTGTTTGCAATTGTCTCCCTGCTGGAAATTTTACATAAGAATGGTGTATATGTTGAGGAGAAACATAGGAAATTGATAAATTTTTTTTGTTAACTCTCAGTATGTGATCAGGGTCCATTGGACCCAATTTTAGTTTTTGAGTTTCCTTTTTGTGCAGTTTTAACTACATATACAAGTTGATATTTCATCATGACTTTTGTTATTAGTGATCTTCAAAAGAAAAAGGAGAAAAAAATTTTAGATATAACAGTTTATTCTATTATAATTATCATCAGGGCCCTTTTATAAATTTGAAATAAATTATGGAATTTCAATAATCTTTGCTTTTTTATCATTACTCATTAATTTATTTCCAACTATGCTTAAAAGACTAAAACAAATTATTATTTTTTTAAAGATTTTATTTATTTATTTGACGGACAGAGATCACAAGTAGGCAGAGAGGCAGGCAGAGAGAGAGAAGTGGAAGCAGGCTCCCTGCTGAGCAGAGAGCCTGATGTGGGGCCAATCCCACGACCCTGAGATCATGACCTGGGCCGAAGGCAGAGACTTAACCCACTGAGCCACCCAGGTACCCTTAAAACAAATTATTTAAATGGGAGAATGATAGAATCACTTAAGATGATACAGTGGTAAAATGTATCATCACTAAACTATTTTCGCTGGTATTCCAAAAGTTAGATCCCTCTTTCTCTCTCACTCACATACACACATACATACGCACGCATGCGTGCGAACCCCAGAATGTCTTTATTAGCTAAAAGAGAACATTGTTGATAATCTATTATCACTAGACATTGTTTTAGGAATTTATATAAATTCTATTATTTGAATCTCACAAAATACCAGTAAGATAATAAATTATTACTTCTGGTTTATCAATAAAGAAACTAAAGGTCTGAGAACATATACAGTGTTTTATATCTTGTATAAATATAAGTATAGTAACTTATACCATGTAAATATATGTATTTTAACTAATAAATAATATTCATTTGTTCAGGGAAATGTATATTTCAGATCCATATAAGATTTTGAATAAAATACATGTTCATTTGTTAATTATAAAAAAAATATTGAGCACCTACTGCCTATAAAACGTGGTCCCTGCCTTTAAGGCACATTCTAGTCTTACAGAGTGCTTAGACGTGTACAGAAGTAACCATAATACAGGGAAGAAAGTCCTGTGTCCTGGGATGACTGTGGTTTTGCAACAGAGGTGATTATTTCTCTTAGGTAGAGAAATTCTCTATGATGGTGGATCGTCTAGTGCATTCATAAGTGGGGAGAAAAAGGGTATTCCAGAAGGGATTATTCCAAGCATGCAGCCGAACATAGGAAAGAGGGCAGTTTACATGTGGCCAGCTAATTATAGGTATAAATGTAACAACCTGCTTCTCTGAATTTCTCTGTTTTCTGCCAATAGTTTGTTTCTTACTGCAATATTTGCTTTTAGATAGGAAGCATTTATTTACTCTTATATTCATGGATATTTATTCTTTTTATTAGTTTTATATGTTCATTGGGAATTACAGTCCTATATTGATAAATTTAATTTCTATGTGTTTTTCTTTACCATTAAATGTAACCCTAAAACCGTAATATTAATGTCCATAGCTCTAATTGTTTTTCATTACCGTAATATTAAGGTTAATAAAACAAATGTATGAGTAAATATTTATGTACAATTAATTTAGTTGGAATTCTATATTGAACCTACAAAAATCCAATTATTAATTATTATTGCCAATAATTTTTATTAATTCACATACTATTTTGCATACATCAAAATAATATCTTAATATAATTTTCTATATTCTGTTTGGTTCTAGTCCTCTTTTTTGTTGTGTTGCTTATGGGTCCCACATGGAGGCAGCAGACATAAAGATTAGAGACTTGCCAACAGATGGGTCTGGCCCCACTGCATGGCCTCAGGCATGGTACTTAGTCTCAACTTTCTCTGCTGTGAAATGGGGATGGACTACATACTTTGCAAGATTATCAATGAAGTTTAAATAACATACTGTCTATGTAAAGTCTTTATCCCATGTCTGGCATGGAGGAGATGTTCAAGTAGAGGTCACTGGGATTTCATTCCAGATTTTATATACTTCAAAGTACATAAGCTGACCAGAACCTAAAATAGGATACACTAGATGCTAACTCGAGAATGTCCAACCAATTAGACTTAAGGGAGGAGGTTTGTCAAATAAGTACATGAATCCCTAATGCTATTACTTTTGGATTATTTTGTTCTACTTAACTCTGGAAAGTTGAGTTTGTTAGCATTTTGATCAAAAGAACCATTAAAAACACATATTACAGTATGAGAAGGTAGAAAATTCTGATTGTATAATGTTGCACTTACTCAAACAGGAGTGTAGGCATTTTTTTTTTAAACAGCCATACTTTATTATCTTACAGATAAATCCAAAGCAGATGGCAAAGTTGCTGTGGTAGCCAAGAAAAGGGTAAGATCATGTTTCATTATATAAAATATGCAGACTTCAAATTCCATTTGATAAAACTTATTTTTAAAAGAAAATTGAATTAATATTTAAAAGCAAAATGACATATTATGAGTTTTTTTCTTCTAGACATTGGTTGAGTATGTGTTTCCTTTTTTAGGTTGACACTAGAAATTTAATATTTATGATTACTTATTTCACTGTTACAGAATTATCAGAAATTAGAACAATGAAAAATTTAAAGTTAACAAGTTAGCGATTGCTTTTATTTACATTGTATTTCACATACATACTCTCATATACTAAAATATTTTTTGTGTATCATATTATTGAAATGTGTGTGATCTCATGGAAAATTTAAATAATTAAAATCCACAGTTTAATATGAACTTTACCTTGAAGTTGAGAATAATATCAGCCATTTATATCAATCTAAACCTAACATCTTTTAAATAAAATTTGTAAAGTCAATAGCATTTTAAAAGAAGCTTAAAAATTTAACACATCATTCTGTACATTGTATTCAGGGAGATGTTTAACTACTTATTTTCAGAACTATGATTGCAATAGGAAGAACATTCTCCTCAAGTGGCAGTATTCTTAATAGGACACTACTTAAAAAGAGAAAGGCCCAATGGTTAAATTAAATTCTTTTAGACAAATAATATATTGATGTCATAAGAAAAAGAATTGTGATTGAAAGGAAAGACTGTCCCTCTAGTTTTTCCTGCATTGAATGGTGGGGTTGGTGCAGGGCAGACCCAGGGAAGGTTGGGTGTAACCCAACAGAAGAGAAAAAAATGTTGGTCACAGACCTATAGATGAACAGGCAATGAGGTAAGCATTATTTTTGTATTTTGAGTATGTATATAGTATGAGTCATTTCATTTTTGTCTTATTTATTTTTATCGTGAGTCCTTTTAAAAAATCTGATTTTGTTTTACACTTTTGCTTTTTGACTTGTAAAAGTAATCTGTATTTTTCACTGGCTAAATAATGTTGCACCTGTATCATAGAAGACAAGGTTGCCTTTTTCAAAGAAACGAAGTAGTACTTGTGTCTATGTGTGACCATTTAGACAGGAACATGTGAGAGAGTGCAGGATTATTAATGTGGGTGGAATTGTTTATTTTAGTCTCTGCTAAAGGATATTTACAATCAAAAATGATACAGGTAATAATGACTAACATTTTATTTTTGCCAGTGATTCTCAATGAACATGGTACTACTGTCTCTAGGACAGTGCCATTTAAAGTGTGAAGTAGCCTGTGAACTATTTATTATTTATTATTGGTCTGCAGTGAGACAAGAGCAAAATATGACAGGAACCATTTAGAAAGTTGTATAGCAATTTGACAGAGTCACTTTTGTCTGTTGAATATAATGATAAAATAGAATTTATATTTTATATTTATTTTTTATTTCATTTTTTTCCTAGTAACTTATTTTTAATTGTATAGAAGTATAGATCTGGGGCATACTGGGGGCAAAACTGGTCCTTTAAATATTATTTGAGAGACACTGCCCTATGTGTCTTGGAGTGTGTTGGGAATTTGTACAAGTGTCTTGGGCTACAGTAGTTTGGAGGAATAGAGGGCTTTTTGTTGGGCAACGCTAAGGAAACTAGCTATCTTGCAATGCATGGAACAAAACTATATAATGAAAACTCTTCAGCATTTGGCATGACTTTTGAATGTGCTGCTAGACTCAACAGACTACAGATATACAGTTGACCCTTGAACAACACAGGGTTGGAGCACTGACTGCTACAGTCAAAAACCTATGTATAACATTTGGCTCCCTTAAATTTAACTATTAATAACATGTTGTCAACTGAAAGCATAATAAAAACATAAACAATCAATTAACATATATTTTGTATGTTATATGTATTATATACTGTATTCTTACAATAAAGTAAGCTAAAGGAAAGGAAATGTTAAAATCATAAGGAAGAGAATATGCATATACAATACTGTATTGTAAAAAATCTGTGCGTAAGGAGACCTCTGAAGTTCAAACCTGTGTTGTTCAAGGGTCAACCATAATTGTATAAGGATTTAATACAAAGTAATACTGAAATATAACATGTTAGACAAAAAGCCAAGGAATTTAGAAAGCTTATCTTCTACTCAACATATTGTAACATATTTAGCTACGTACTTAACCATAAAGAGTAGAAGTGCAGTTACTGAGGTACCATGGAAAACATTTAAAAATCAGAAACAGGAAATTTGAGATGCCTTTTAACAGTCTTAAAATCAAATATTACTGAATTGACAGATAAATGAAATGTATTGTTCTCTTTGAATTTCAAAAAATAAACATTTAGAAATATTTCATAGTATTGCTACCCTTTATATATGTGTTAACATTAGAATTAATACTAAGAAATCTGCTACAGATATTGCATACGGAAATTACTTTTAGAAAATTATTTCTATTGTTTACCAATCTTACTCTGATATGTCCCCAAAGTCTACCTTAAAATTCGTCATTACATAAGTATAATATACATATTAATTGCTTCTTTTTCTAATTTATTATCAAGACAGTCTTCTTCGGGGCACCTGGGTGCCTCAGTCAATTGAGTGTCCAACTCTTGATTTCAGCTCAAGTCATGATCTCAGGGTGGTGAGGTAGAGCCCCCCACCCCATCAGCCTCCACACTCAACACAGAGTCTGCTTGAGATTCTCTCTCTCTGTCTGTCCCTCTTCTTGCTTTCACCTCTCTTTCTCTGTCTCTCTAAATAAATAAATGAAATCTTAAAAAAGAGACATTCTTCCTCACATATTAAAAGTTTTGGCCATGTTATTTTCAAGTACTAGAGACTGGATGTGGCCCTGATGTGTTGTGGGATTTCTGTGGTATTTTGTTACTAGGTCATCTCATGTCATAGCACACAGAGAATTATTTCCCCTATAGAGAATTATTTTCCCAAACTCATTTGGGAGAATATAATACTTCCCATTTTCTATGCTTGGGCAATCTATAATTTATTTTAGAATATTATCTCTCTTTAAGATTTGTTTCTTTTCTTTCATGATATAAAATGTCTTATCTCTTACTACTTAGCTGAAAAGTAGTTTCATACCCTTGCCAATACCTGTTATTTCTTCTGTTGGGAATACAAGTTGGAGGAGCCACTTTGGAGAACAGTATGGAGGTTCCTCAAAATGTTAAAAATAAAACTACCCTACCATCCAGCAATTGCACTACTAGGTATTTACCCAAAGGATACAAAAATACATGCACCCTAATGTTTATGGCAGCATTATCAACAATAGCCAAACTACGGAGGAGCCCAAATGTCCATTAGCTGATGAATGAATAAAGAAGATGTGGCATGCATACACACACACACACACAGGAATATTACTCAGGCATCAAAAATAATGAAATCTTGTCATTTACAATGACATGGATGGAGCTAGAGTATATTATGTTAAGTGAGATAAGTAACTCAGAGACAAATACTATATGATCTCACTCATAGGTGGAATTTAAGAAAACAGACAAACATAAGGGAAGGGGAAAAGAAAAAAGGAGAGAAGGAATCAAGCAATAGAAGACTCTTAATGATAGAGAACAAACTAAGGGTTGATGGAGGGAGGTGGGTGAAGGGTGTTAGGAGGACACTTGTTATGATGAGCACTGGGGGTTATATGTAAGTGAGGAATCACTGAATTCTACTTCTGAAACCAATATTGCACTGTATGTTAAATACCTAAAATATACATAAATTTTAAAAAATGCATATACTCTCCTACAGTCTAGAAGAGAACTCAGATATTTAAATTAAAAAGAATTATATAAGAATGAATGAAGTGTGGGGTCCCTGGGCGGCTCAGTCAGTTAAGCATCTGCCTTTAACTCAGGTCATGGATCCCTAGGTCCTGGGGTGGATCACTGCATTGGGCTCCTTGCTTAACAGGGAGTCTGCTTTTCCCTCTCTCTATGCTCCCTCCCCCACTCATGCTCTGTCTTGCTCTCTCTCTCTCAAATAAAATCTTTTTTCAAAAAAGAAGGAATGAAGTATGTCTACAATAAAGTTATAAGTAAAAACAAAAAAAAAGTAGTTTCTGTTCTTATGTCCACCACTACTTCCTGTTGGTACATTTTTCTATAGATCCTGTACAGATTGACATTATCCAAACTTATTTATTCATGATAGGGATGACTGGCATTTATCTTACTGATTTTGTCTTCAAATTAGTTGTTCTCAAGCATACACATATAGAAATGCATTTTTATTTTATGATAAATATATTTTATTTCTCTTTTATAGTATAGTTACAGTATTTTGAAATTATTCATGTAGTCAGATATATTAATTATGTTACAGGCTACAATTACTGTAACAAGGAGACTCCATATTACAGGGAGTCATATAAGATAGGAGTTTATCTATCACTTTATTCTATACCTGACCAAAGGTGGGCCAATGATCCAGGGTAGGAGGAGGCTTTGCCCCACAAAATCATTTAGACTCCCAAGTTTTTTCTGTTTTATTGTTATATGAACCCCAAGGGTATGGTCCTAATCTATATGGTCAAAAGTTGAGTGCACTATCACATCCACATTCTGGCCCATGAAAAGAGGTAAGGTGGAAAAGGAGTACAAACAATTAGTTGAACAAGAAACATGAACTTGAAGCTGTGCATGTCATTTCTCTGACATTGCATTGGCAAAACTTAGTAATATGTCTACACCCAGTGCCAAAGGGAAGGAGGGGACTGCAGCTTCTAACTGGACCAGTTTAGATACTGGGGTTACAGTTAGTGGTCTGTGACTTTCATTTAAGAATAGAGAATGGTATAAAAAAAAAAAAAAGAAAGAATAGAGAATGGTATGTTTCAAAATATTTCTTATAAAAGGGATTGGTTAGGTCTGATAGAGCTGAGAAGCTTCTTGATTGCCTCATTTGACCCTCACAATACCAGTGGGAAATAGGTATTACCATAATTCTTCTTACAAAGAAACTGCTCCCAGGGGTATTAAG